TCTGAATAGCACAATAAAAGCGATTCACAAAATCGAACTGATATCAGCAATGGAGAGGAGACAGATGTGGATAAAGGCGTTTTTCTTTTCCTCAGTTTTACAGTTTCGTAACAAAGCGAAACACTTCGATCCTATATAGAATGTGCTAAATCCGAATACCACTCCGATTTCCGCCAGAAATATGCTTGAACTAAGAAAATTCTGTTGCACCTAAATAATCTCGTCTTTTCGAAAAATCTGTTAGACGGTCCGGGACTAACTGTATTAGTTTATGCTAATAAACATAATGAAGAAGTTTGGACAAATTTGAACCTTGCCTAACAATCACAGAGAGTGCACATATTTAAAGCATATGTCCGTTTTCCGAGTGGTTGGCTTCATCTTCAATAAAAACTAACAGATCCGAAAATGCCAGTGTTTTTTCATGCTAGTTTTGCACATGTTTCAAGTTTTTAGAGCACAATATTACACCTATATCTAAAGCATGTTTCGAAATGAAATTATCACTATATGAATATTGTATAGCCTACGTTGGAGGCTTCGTCATATATTTACTAAGCTAGATGAGTGGGATATTACCTAACATGCGTATTTACCTTCGAATTCTACTTTTTTTTCTTGCTGCTTCTCTCTGTTCAGATCTATGAGAGCTGCTTGTTGATGCGCTGACAATGTTCGAAAGTGAGCGTGTCGAAAATAAGTAAGTATCATATGGAGACAGTGACTGAATAACATGGTCCACGCGATAGCGCGCAGTATTGGTGAGAAATCAGATAGATAAAGAAGAAGACCAAGAGCGAAGGCATTCACCATAGCCAGAACTGCATTTGTTAATAGATATGCTGAATGATCGGCTCGATGAGTCAGTACATCAAAATTATTCATGCACCTATTTGACACATTCACCAGAATGCCCGACAGATCATATCGGAGGCCATTGATCGTATATGTGACTGTGGCCATCGCAGTTGCAGCATCTTCGAGAACTCTTTCGATTATGTTGAAGAATTTTGATAAGTTCCCACCCATTTTGAGTCTGTTTGTTCCTGGGTAAAACTTTCTCACCTGAAAGGAATCAATAGTCTTTATAGTACCCAAATTCTTATCAGTTTATCCCAGTTAATTAACAAACAAGGGTGGGTGTTTCTGTCATCTCTTTCATTCACACCCATACTTTAAGTAAAGTAAAGTGTAAGTATTTAACGTAGCTTTACTTTTTCAAAGGAAATCAAAGTTAACGTGCCACCCACACCTGGGATGCTTCATTTCTAGGCACTAAAATCTGATCAAATTCCTCTCATTGCCGCGATGAAGCTTTTAAAATATCACACCATTCTGGTCGACTGACATCTTCAATCGTACTCGTTCGAACGTGCTACACTGAAAATTTATGTGAGAGAGTATTAAACTCAAATAATACTTAAAGTTACATTTCATCGTCGATAGATGTTTGTGTAAATGATATTGTTCGTTATAAAGATGATAATAGGATAGAATAAAATCAACTAACCTTATGAATTGAAGTAACAAAGATTAATATAATGTTTTGAAAGATTGAATATAAAAGACAAAAAAATGAATAAGTTGAGCTGTTAAGAGTTCTGTTATAAAGAAGACGATACCTTTATTTTTTTTTCGTAAATGTTTCAAAAAGATTAGTTTTCTTTGTCTTTTCTCTTTAACTGATAAATGACTGTTATCAATAGATGAAACATAGCCCCACTATCTAAGAGGATCAAAAATGTTAGAAACAAATGGTTTGTAACGTAAAAAAATAATATTAGGGTATGGGCGTCTCTTAATTTATCCACTCAATCACGCACTCCCACCCCTCATACCCAGTGTGATGAACGATTTACTGAGAAATATATAACAATATTGGCTGTATTTCTTATAGACCTTACAAGTTATTTTCTTCTCTTTAGATGTGACTATGAGTGTCATCTTGTTCGGTCCCATACCTACATCCATCCTCAAGATTATGACAGATCTACTTAGACCTGATTGTTCATTATGACTTCCTTACAGACAAATACTTAGTTTTGACACTTTAATGACCATTTAGTTTTCCTAAATTCGTATTTATTGATAAAATAGCAAAAAACACACTTGCGAATGAAGCAATATTTATTAAAAATTAGAAAATGTTATCAACATTGCTAGTTTAAATCTTGAGTATTTAAATGATCAGTACGATCTCTTCCTTGTTCTCTCCAAGCCTACTGTGCTTGTTCTTCTTGATGCTGTGATTGCCGTCACGGTTGTTCGTATTGGTATTGTTCATTATTAAATGCATGGGCGTGGGTGTAATGTCTACCTGTCACACCCACCATCAAGATGGATGTGGATCTTCATTCTATAGCTCATATCCACATCCACCTTCGTTATAGACAATACAATTGTTATTTCAATAGTTTTAATTTCAGAAAATAAAATGTAATTTTTCGATATATAAAGTATTCTAGATCATCAAAAATAACGTTAGACAAGGGGTGGGTGTGGGTGTCGATAAGCATGTGGGTGTGAGATATAAACTATACCCACACCCACACCCATCGTTCGTCGTCAGACAATTTTCTATTCGTCTCTAAATACGATGTATCATAGCATGTTAATGAAGCGACTTGATGTTGTCGCCTGCCCTTGTCAATATAGTTTCTTTGCTAACGTGATCTATCTGCTGTCTATTGGTAAATGATTTTATTTTTTACTCAAAAACAAGCTGATCTATTTTTCAAAAAGATACTGATATGAAACGGAGTCGACCTAGGGCAGCGAGCCAGTCGCGTTTCTTGTTGCTGAACCTGTTGTTTTCAACGTTAAGGCTTCGCAAAATCTTCATTTTGAAAATTTCTTCTGGTAACGTTGTCAATTTATTGGCTGCAAGATCAAGGCGCACTACCGAAAGGCGTTCAATTATGGCTGGAATGGACTGGATCTGATTGTGCTTGAACGAAAATGTGCTACCTGCACTGTTGCTTGCTTCAATTCTTGTGGCCAGTGTTTCGATGCCAGCGAGAGACGTGAGCTTGTTATTCGACAAATCGAATATGCGCAGATTAGAAATGGCGAGTGGGAGATGATCAATCGAGCAGTTTATTGCTTTTAGGTTGGAGAGCTTTGTCGATCCATTCACAGCATCGAGAGAAGTAAGAGGCAGGTTGCTGCTCACATCAAGTATTCTAAGATTCTGTAATCGACTGATAGTTGAAGGCAGAGAACTGAGTCGGTTTCCGATGAGTTTCAGCTCGTCTAACTTGGTTAGCTGTCCGATCCATTCCGGCAATATTTCAAGACCACAATTGACAAGAATGAGTGTTTTAAGATTAGCCAGACCAAACAACTCCGATGGAAGATTCAGAGCAGCGGAGGTTTGGTTATTTTCCTTAAAAGGATACAGATTTTTCAACAGTTTATAAAAACTGATGTTGGCGTGTCAATCAAACCTTCATTGAAATTTCCAGGTATGTGAGATTGTTGAGTCGACCAATCTCTGCTGGAATAGTGATATTGCCGTAGTTGAGCACTAATTTTTGCAGGTGTTTAAGACAAAAGATGGCAAGTGGAACACTTGTTTCATTGTAAAGTTGAAGCTCAATGATTTTCATCATCTCCCTATCAAAAAGAGCGTAGGTACCGAACTCGGGTACGCTAGTAGGATGGATGGATACAAGAAATGGAATTGATTCGAAAATTTGCTCTTCGGTGTCGAAGATCGAGCAGTCGAATGAGGATTCTTAAAACACAAGAAAAAGTATGTACACATATTCCTTTTTCATAAATCATACCATTTATACCTGAATCGAAGGCCAACGTTGGAGAACTTACTACAATCAAGAAAATGAATGTGATGCCGATCATTTTTGTTCTCTTTAATGGTGATAGAATGACTGGGACGGTAGCAAGCTTTTCCAATTATATATGATACCTACCTCCCTATCTGCATCCTCCCATGTTAATCCATGCACAAACACAGCTTTACGGATTGATTTCACTTTATTTTCAATTCAATACACCACCTGGCTCGGCTTCTCATTCATCATGTTAGCCCACACACAAGCCCGATTTTTTCTTGTCAATCTACTTTCGTCATTTTCTCTGTTGTTTCTTGATGAGACTCATGTCATCATTAACTTTCCGCGAAACGAGAAGAAAGCTATTCTATGTTTTTTTCGGGGAATACGATTCAACGATGATGGAAAGTAAAAAACAAAAAGGATTTCAAATGCTTTTAATGAGAGCGACTATTACTGTTGTTTTATCGAACTAGTCCATTTTCGCCGAATCATATTTTTTTTAGTCGAGTCGGATTTTTTTAAAGTATATGTCGAGTCGAGGAAAGGCCAAAGCCGAGTCGAGTCGAGTCAGACATTTTCTAACTCGTTTCGGTCTCTGATTCTGACTTTTATACCTTCATCCTCACCTTCAATTCCCTCCCTCACCCTCGTTGAAAGCCATCTGATGGTAACTAAGTGCTATAGCAACCAACTAATTTGGTAGCTAACTGAAATGGTAGTCGACTGACTTAGCAACCAGCTGACTTGGCAATGAACTAATTAATTGAGGGTGTGGGTGTGGATATGAATGTGAGGGCGTGGGTGTGGGTGTGGGTGTGGGTGTGGGTGTGGGTGTGGGTGTGGGTGTCGCTGTAGAATAAATAGAGTATTCAAAACTGCACCCACACCCACACCCTCACTCTCACGCTCACACCCACACCCACCCACACCCTCACACCCACACCCACCCTCAAGAATGTATGAAAATAGTGTAATCATTCTATATATGCTTCCCACTCATATACTCAAGAAAAGATTCTCTTCATCTATTCATCAATGTTTAATTTTAACATTTATTCTTTCAAAATGAAATAACACAGATCCATCAACTATACGCATCTTTCTTATTCTCTATTCCAAGAAACAAATGCAAAATTTTCATATTTATTTATATATTTTGATTAAAAATAAAAACAGAATATTTTTCGAAATTTATCAATCAATTCAAATAGGTAAATCTGTTTCATCAATTGTTTTACGCCATTCACCCTTCAACGGATTGTAAAATAGATAGAATTGTTCTTCTTTTGGAACATTTCTTATATTGATATAATGAAGATCGAATGGAACTTTATTATAATGACCAAAGAAATGAAGTCGAATAGAGATCGAATGGATGTTTTTGTTAGATATTTCGATAGAAAATGGTTCACAATTTAATTCTTGTTTTTTTCGATCACCAATAGTCATTTGAATCGATTTGAAAAGTGTAAATGGAATTTCAGCATTGTCTGGATCACGACCTTCGATATTAATCTTTGATTTATTCATATCAGGATCATGTTAGATCTATAACTTCTTGTGTAAATAGTTTATTCAAGACGTAATACGTTTTACTACTAAAATCACACACTCTAACGTAAAACATAATCTCTATATATATATATAGACTCGCTGGATTTTTCCCATATCATATTATGGAAAAATACCTGAGTTATATATATAAGAAACTTAACTAGGAGAATACCAAAAGAGACATATCGAGGACACGCAACAGAACGAAAGAAAATCACATATATAGAAAAGAAAAAAAAGAATATATATATGGGATAATTCCTTGTAAATGTAATAAGGAATATTCCATAACACTGAACTCAATAAAACTACTAAAAGTTATCTCTCAAAACTGCAAAAAATGCTTAGATATTTACCTAAAACTTGACACATTCGAAATCGGTTAAAAGAACTAGGGGTGTACAACTCGCGCTCATGAGTGCTCATATGAGCGTAAGCGTTTTCTTTTAAGATATTCTGAAATATGGAACTTATTCAGTGTTTTATCTTTTGGATTTCTCAGTTCGGGTTCTTACAAGGGTAATGTTAAACTGTACTTCATTAATATAGAGTTCATTCAACGTTTTAATAAATGTTTCTCTCCCGCTCATGAGCGAGAGCTGTACACCTCTAGAACGAACTTCGAACCCGAATCCAACAAGACCCAAGATTACCATTTCTGCCGACACATCTTCAAAAGTGTTGAGATAAATACGCGAAGTTCTATAATTCGTTAACTGCATGGATGAATTCTAAACCTGAACTCAAACCTAATTCGTTCGATTCGAATTCTAGACTGGAGTTCGAGGTTACAGGAAAACTACTTCATCATGAATTGTCAAATGAAATAAATGAGTCTATTTTTGGTTTCTCTGCAACTAACGACACGATTGTCCTACTCAAGAGAGTTTAGGAGTTATTCACAAACATTTCTTTATGGCGTGTAACAAACCAGTAAACTATAGTTGAAATTTAAACAACATAGTATATATTAAACCGTTTTAAGTAATACTCGTCAAACTGTTTTGCACTATAATTTTACCAAACTCTAGTGTTTTGTAGGAAACTTTTCGGACGCTTACAAACGAAGGAACTGATATTTTAATACTTCAAAAGCATTTTTTATCAGAGAAAAGTAAATAGGAGAGAAATAATATTTTTCAATTTCTCTGGCTTGCAAAAAGTGTTTTTATTATGTTAAAATATATGCTCTTTATGCTGCAAACTCCAATGTCGTTTTTTCATTCCTTCTTTACCCCAGTTATCGAAAATCAAAAAAGACTGATTTTTTCCCCACAATTCATGCATTCGGTAGTTGTTTTACTTAAAGATAGATGAGAGTAAGAATTTGTGGTAGCTATTTTGTCCATGTTGTTGATTACATTTCTACTTTTTTTAAAACAAAAAATGTGTGTTTCTTTAATTTATCATCATGTTGGTAAAAGCTGTTTCTTCGAATGAAACATACTATCCCAGATCAATCCATACGGCTCTATTTTAATGGACTGACGACCCGTATTTCTGCGCCAGGTATTACGGGTAAATACGGAACCGTATACGCGTCGTACTGATAGTCTTGGGATTTTTTTTTCTCATTTTCAAGCCTCCGCACGCCTTCACTCCTTTAATTCAGGAGGAGCTTGAGCCTCCCCAAGCCTAATGGCTCCGCCGCCTATGGACAAGAACCTGATGCTACACTGTTGCATTAGTTCGTGAAGATCTGAAGATATTTTCGTATAACAGGACTTGCGTAACTAAAGATGCTTTCATACAATAGAAGATACGGACTGGATGATGCACCTAGCAATTAATTCCAGGCAACTTCTGACTAGATGTCATTCGCTCTAAAACAATCGTGGTTAGTTATAAGTCTAACTCTAATCAATTCTAAGAATTGAAATTCTGTGTAATTGAAATTGAGTTTCTCTATACCTTAGGATTCTGCAGAAAATTGTCGGAAGTAGAATGAATAATGAATAATCTCACCCAAAAGTTTTCGGATTTTTCCGATGAATTTCGATTCTTTCCTCCTGAAAAGTGCAAGTATTCGACTGCAATCTATCGATACAAGTCCGGCAAATCTTCAATAAGGATTCTGCTTACATTTCTGACAAGTTTTGGCACCTTCCTGCAGAAAGGAACTCGCCTTTTCCGATCGGCGAGTGAGAAAATAATAGCTGAAGTTGTTAAAAGCTCAAACTTTATGGACCAGTTTGACATTAGGAATTAATTGGAATGATTAATGATGGCCTTGACTAATAAATAGGGAGCTAAGAATGCCAAAAGTTTTCTATTAGGATCCGAAAGGATCCATAGGATCCAATGGATCCGAGGATTCAGGATCCGCTTTTGCCCCTTGCCCTCAACTCACTATTTGCAGTGAATTGATGCCATTACAAGCTATTTTAGCTAGTAATAGTGCATTTTTCCATTGAAAAATTCTTAAATTGAGCTAGAATTGTTTAGTTTTGGCTTAGTTTAATTATTTTTGATGGATTAAGCCATTTGAAAAGAACTTTAGCCAGTTCGAAATGCATTATGGCTGCTAAAAACTCACCCGAGATCATCAAAACACTTTTACAAATCGAGTAATATAAAGAAGAAGTTTTTACGAGTTTTATTTTCTTTAAAAATTATTGTGATCCGTCACATTATGACATAGAACATAAAACATAACAGTGTTTTCTTTGTCTCCCTCCATATCCCGTAAGTGATGTACTACGCCAATTAACAACTAATTTTCCATGATTTTGCAAACAAATTTTGTTAGATTTGTTTTTCTCAATAAAATAACGTAATGAATTGATTCGTCCCTCAAAGGGTGGCAGACAACATTCCATATCATGGTAAATTGGTTTTATTCCCGTTTCTGTCTTAATTTTATTTGTGAGCAAAGCTATGAGTTTATCCTTTTTTGTTGCGTTTATAGTAATGCTATCATCTTTATCGTATAATTCAAGTAGCTGTTTAAAAATTTGAGTAAATATTGGACCACAACGTTGTGAACAATATTTACGCATTAGACCAGCAAAACATATAATTGTTTTACAGTTGAGAGCAACATAACTGATGAGACTCACATTTTCCGATGAGTAATCGTAATCTGAGACATGTTGTTTGTCCCCTAGAATATATGTAATATGAGTTCTTGGTTTTTCTCTTCACAATACTTACTTTGTAATTGTCCATCAATTACAGATAAAATATTTTCTTTTGTCGGTAAATTCTGTAATCTGCTAATATTTATATCTGAATAAATCAGATAATAAAATGTTATCAACAATTCCCATCTTAAACAATCATAATCTAAATATTTTTCAATGTAATTTTCGTCGATATTACAATAATTTAACATAGTTTTCATAAAATCAGGTATTGGTAACCGAAAACTTTTAATATAATCCATCTCAATTTTATGTTGTATAATAAGTGTTCGATTTTCATTTTTAATATTTTCTGATATTAATTGAATTGGTGTATGTAATTCATCATAAAAATAATCGATAAAACTTCTTTCAATGTGATCAGGAACAAGCGTCGTAATGTTGCTCTGATTGCTTGTACTGACAGTCATTGTCAGATATTTCGTGTCACAACCATAGACAAGATTTTGTACAATTTGTTTTGTTTCTAAGGATTTTTTTGTATATTTCTTTTGATACTCTTGCCTAAGATATTCATAGTAAACTGGTAAAAGAACAGATGCTAAATCTCTTTTCAAATAGGCAATTATCAATGGTATACATAGATCATAGTCTTGCTGATTTATAATTACTTGTCGATTCAATAATTTTTCATATGTCTTCTCACCATATTGTTCAGCTGTTTTAAAGCCTTGTGATTCATTGATGATAAATTGACATACTTTTTCAAGTTCAATTAAAATTTGTTTTTGTCGTTTAGTATTTGTACGTTGTTGAATAATTTGAAACAATAATTTTAATATACCGACTTCCTGTTGTTTATCATATCCATAACTGTCTAAGGTATAAAGATAACCAAGCCATATACCTTCAAGAATACGTATTCGTTTCATATGTTCATCATTGATATATAATGGTATGACAGCATTAATTCGTTCATCGGATAGAGTACCAGCTACACAATAAAGATCGTTGAGAGCAGTGAACTGTCCTTGTGCCTGTTGTAAATCATTTTTAGCCACATTCATGGCATTAATAAATGAATCATAAGATATGATTGTATTAGTAACATGCAGAAGTTTTAAACCTTTCGCTGGATTGGTAATAGCTTCTTCGTCACGTTGAACACGGATACCTAGATATAAATAAAAGTTAGTTATCTTATTTGTAAAATGAGTTCATTTTTAAAAGATGTTGTTGTAGAGTGTGGATGAGGATCCTGCATGAATTTCTTGATTTTCACATTCTCAGAAAAATCTAGACAGTTTTGAAAATTGTCGAAATTCCTATCACCCAATTTTCAGACAATGCCTCTTAATGGTAAGAATTTTTTTTTCTTTTCTAGTACAGTCGTTACCTAAACATAAAATATTATCCGGTGATTTTCTCATAATTTCATAGATGTCATCATTGGAATAAACATCAACCCAATCCTGTTTTTGTTCTTTAATCATTTGCCATGTGTCTGGTGTTATTGAATCTTTATATCCTTGTAATATACCACTGATATCTGTTTTCTTGAAATAATCAACATTTTTATTTATTCTTAAATCTAATTTCTTTTTTCGTTGTGCATTAGCAAATAATGAATCATGTCGAAGTGCACTCAATTGTAGTTTGACACGTTCTGGTACTTGATTCATTTTCAATTCTGTAAATAATTGACGATATTCCATCATACGTTGATCAATTTCTTTATGAAGTTGTTCAACTTCTAAACGTTCCATTAAATTTTTACTGTTTGTAATTGAAATTGTATTCAAATAGGTTTGAATTGATTTAACATGTTCTTCATTTTGTGGTGAAATAAGATTTAATGCATGTAGTAAATGTATAGCACGAACATCTTTCATTTGTATTAAATGAAAGTTTGTTGTTGTTTTTTTATCATCAGTTATTGTCAACTCTGTAATTGTACTGATATCATCACCATCATCAGTTAGAAAACCAATGATTTCATTATCAATATTATGTGCAATATAAGTTTTATTATTTGAAAATTTAATTGTAAATTCACGTATATTTAATGCATATTCAAACATATCATTAAAATTATTTTGTAATTCTTGTGATTGTGTTGAATAACGAAAGAGACCGTGATGTGTACCAAATGTTCGTATTTGGTTAAGAAATTGATCATTCACTTCACCAAAGCCGATAACATGAAATGTAATGGGAGGAGACTGAAATAAAGCAAAATAATATAAAAAACAAAACAATTTAATCACAGAATCTCATCGTCTCAAGTTCTCGACCGTTAGCGATAATTTTCAGCTCATTTTCTCCTACTGAAAGAGCACAATAACTTACATTTGTCATTCCACTTAATACCAATCTTAGCATGTCAATACTCTTCTTCAATGCTGGACCATTTGGTTCATTATCTTGTCCATCAGTCATGAATATAAAGGTTATTGCTTTCTTGGATGATGAATTTTGTACAATATAATCTTTGATAGCAGTAAATATACATGCAAATGAGGTACCACCATTGGCTTCTAGATCACCAGGTTGTTCAGATAACGTTTTCAATGTACGTTGTGTATTAGTTTGCGTATTATATGTAAATAGACGATAATCTTTTTGTGTACGTTGATAAATATCACGTAAAACCTCACAGACATTATGTATTGGACTACCAGCCATTGAGCCACTGATATCAACACAGCATATAATCTCAGTGTCATTAACATTACTAGCATTACTTGTAATTGCTGATCCTTCTAACTGTGAAAGTTTAATTTCAATATAGTTCTGTTGATTAGAAAATGGTAGTTTAAAATATTCTGCCATGACTAATCGTTGTGTTAAAAGTACAAAGAGCAAAGAATGAATGAAGATAAAAGAGTGATATTTATATAATAGAATGTTGCAAGCATATTATGAAACTTTCAAGTAGAAAAAAGGAAGAAAAATAAAACGACTCATTAAGACAATAGTAGGTTTCTCTTTCGACGCAACATAGGTTTTTTCATGTTGTATGCTGAAATGGTAAGTGGGAAACCTTTCATATGCAAAATCACAGCAAGGTGTTTTTTGTTGGAAATTTCCAACCAAAAAAAGGAAAGAAAAATAAACTGTTGCATTGATACAAAAATAGATTTTGCTTTTGACGCAACATTTGGAGATTTTTTCATGTTGTATGCTGACTCGATAAATGGTAAACTTTTCATATGTAAAATCACAGTAAGATTTTTTTAGTGAGGGTGTGGGTGTGGGTGTGGGTGAGGGTGTGGGTGTGTGGGTGTGGGTGTGGGGTGTGGGTGGGTGAGGGTGTGGGTGTGGGTGTTGGTGTTTCTTCATCTACACCCACCCTCAAGATGATGATGTGGATGTGTGTAGGTTTGGGTGTTTCTGTCTTCTCTTTCGCCCACATTCACACCTTCAGTTAAGTAAAGTGTAAGTATTTAACGTAACTTTACTTTTTAAAAGGAAATCAAAGTTAACGTGCCACCCCCACACTCAGAATGCCTTATTTCTAGACACTAAAATCTAATCAAATTCCTGTCATTGCCACGATGAAGTTTTTAAAATATCACACCATTCTGACCAAGTGACATCTTCAATCGTACTCGTTCGAACGTGCTATACTGAGAATTTGTGTGAGAGTACTATAAGCTCGAATAATACCTAAAGTTACATTTCATCCTCGATAGATGTTTGTGTAAATGATATTGTTCATTATAAAGATGACAAGAAGATAGAATAAAATCAACTAACCTTATGAATTGAAGTAACAACGATAAATGTAATGTTTCGAAAGATTGAATATAAAAGAAAAATAAATGAATGAGTTTGCCGGTTAAGACTTCTGTTATATAGAACACGATATCTTTATCTTTTTTTCGTCAATGTTTCGAAAAGATTAGTTTTCTTTGTTCTTCTTCAACTGATAAATGACTGTTATCAATAGGTGAAACAAAACTCCACTATCTAAGAGAACCAAAAATGTTAGAAAAAAATGGTTTATAACGCAAAAAAAATATTATTAGGGTATGTGCGTTTCTTAATTTATCCACTCTATCACGCACCCCCACCCCTCATACCCAGTGTGATGAACGATTTATTGAAAAATATATAACAATATTGACTGTATTTCTTATAGACCTTAAAAGTTATTTTCTCCTGTTTAGGTGTGAGTGTGAGTGTGATCTTCTACGCTTTCACACCCACCCTCGAGATATGAATCGTTCTTCTTTTATTGGTAGTTTTAAGAAAATTACCGAAGCGCATTCTCTTTTCAATTATGTCGAGAAATATCCACGGCGTCTAACTATTAGTGCACATGGTTTCATTCCACATTCTTATTACGAGTATCGATATACTCGTCCTTCATGTAAATGATTATATTCATATAGTAATTATCTAATTGTTTTTGACTATTTCATTATATCATTTCATGTGTGTCTTATATTTTTTTCTTATTCAATTAAAATAAACTTAGAAAACTATCTTCATGGTGGGTTTCTGCTGAATAAATTTAACCCTATATTATTAAGTATACCGATATCTTTGAGATCAGTATTAATGTGTTTCTTTTTGTTAATTTTACTTTATTAGCTGATGTACATCTACATATGAAAATAAAATGAATATATTTAAGGGTATGAGTGCGGGTGTGGTTCGAGTATTTAATTTACTACACACCCACACCCCCAATATGTAATCGAACGATTTACTAATAGAACTCGTATCATTTCTTTCAGAAAAGAGTCAGTGGATCTACAGAATGAGGATTACTTGTAATATAAAAGCAGTCTTCTCAAATCAGTAGGAAAATATTGGTAAAAGAACTTGCGCCGCACAGACGCTCTTCGATGTAAAAATGAAATAAACCAAAACAATTACACTGTTCACATAAAATTATAAGCTATCCGTACGATAGTATTGTTCAGAAATGTCCTCATCTGAGTTCAATCCAGCTTTTTAGGTCGATGTGGAGCTTGAGGCGTTGTTATTATTGGTCTTGGCGTTGAAACTGTGAAGTTTTTTGGGACATAGACGCCCATTAAGTCATGATATTTAACAGACAAAGATTTCAATTTATCATCCGTCGCATTACCATTACATCTGTTACTATTGCACTCATAATCAATATTAAAAGAATTGATAGTTAGTTGATTTGGAATCAATGACACATGTGTTTGCATGCTGAGAGGCGGCCAATATGGACTACCACAACGTCGCTTCCCTCCGTTCAGCATGCTCTCGCACAGACCGTTTGTACAATTGATCAAATTAGTTTCCGAAGCTAAAACACGTACAAAAATAGTCATATGTTCGGTTTCTCACTATTTTCACGCGATATATTTCTGAACATCAGCGCATTTATACGATTTTCGATCGGTACGTCTTGGAGAAGTGTACTTTTTAGAGTTTTACGAAGTGGCTTTTTTGGAATAGCCAGGTAAAGTTAAGTGACTTATATTGCAGGGCAAAACTTATTCGACAAGTTGATATTCTCAGAAAAGTATTCCCACCTAAATTACGAGTTTGAAGTTTATCGAAAATGTTTTCATCAATTTCAAGACAACATCGAAGCACACGTCTCTGAACAAACGTCCAAAACAGGTGCGAACAGCTAATCTACACTATCAAGTGAATCAAAGTATGGGCCAAGGTTCTCTGAGAAAAATTTTCTTCGCTCTGTTAACATGAGCTGGTATTACCTGGGGTATTGAGCGACTTATTATAACATTCTACTTGCGACGGTGTGGTGCCACTATTGAGAATAGCGGAGAGTTCTCTTCGCAGTGGTCTATAATCAAGTCGATGAAAATGATTAAAAACTTCACTAATATAGAAGATATCGCAGTCATTTGCATAACAACAAAAGAAATTGAACTTTGTGGTCATACTAAATGGATTGAAATAAAGTCGAAAGTATTGATCGATGTCGTAATAAATATCTTCTATGTTTGTACTATCATTCGTTTGAAATCCATTAAATCTAATATTCGCTTCCTGCTTGCCGTAGTCGATTTCCACCGAAGCCCTGCAGAAAGGCAGAGTAACTTGCTGACACTTAGACGGCAATTGGAATGATGGATTGCTGAGTGGTATCGAGGCGCTACATGTAAATACACACCGGATAGTATCAGGTTCAGATGCCGTTGATCTTGTTTCATTATTCGGATGAACGTTCATGCCATAAGAAGATCCGAGTAGGAACAGTACTAAAAGTGTCCATAATAACAAAGTCGATTTATAATTGTTCATCAGTTGTGTTAAAGAAATTGGTTAGTTGTTAGAGAAGGTTGTATTTGAATGATGTGAAGCTACACGTTCTCTTTTAAGAGTAAAATTATCAGTAACGAAATGATAACGCACGACAACGAAAAACGACGTCATAGCAAAAGATACGACGATGAAGCTGCTAAAAAATAATGGCCGCCTCTGCGACAGTAAGATAACAAATCGTTGAACCATTCTCCCACTATTTCAGCGCCGTTCGAATATATCATGAAACTTAGAGTGTGGGTGAGAAAGCAGTTCTCCTCCGTTTTATCCACACTCACACTTTCGACGGTTGACATTCTATATTTATTTCCGATATTTTCTGTTCATCGGTATTGTTCACTTAAATATCATAAGCGAACTAACATAAACATGGATTGAAATATATATCACAACACATTGGACTGGTGTTTTAATTATTTCATTACTATTTGTTTTTCGAAAGACCAATGTAAGGAGCAAATTATGATACAAGTAGCCATGAATTTTTATGTATAGATCTGTTCTAGTGTGACATGGTTACGAATTTACATATTAGTAACGGTTGTAGTTGTACCATCTGTTATAAACATTATTTTAAATCTTGAGGGTGTGGGTGTCAGTGACGGTATTGTGTTCATTTCACACCCACACCCTCAAGATGGTAGAGATGATCAGTAGGATAATTATTATATGATAGACAAGTAAATTATCATGATACTAAATCGAATAATATATTCCTTCATTCAGAGTGATACTCAATACTTTGTTGCTTTTTCAACTAAGTTTTATATTGCCAATATATTCAACTAAACAATGAGGATACGTGAATGTATGAAAGTATTGTAATCATTCTATATATGCTTCTCACTCATATACTCAAGAAAAGATTCTCTTTATCTATTAATCAATGTTTAATTTTAACATTTATTCTTTCAAAATGAAATAACACAGATCCATTAATTATTCGCATCTTTCTTGTTTTCTATTCCACAAAACGAATGCAAAATTTTCATATTTATTTATATATTTTGATTAAAAATAAAAACAGAGTATTTTTCGAAATTTATCAGTCAATTCAAATAGGTAAATCTGTTTCATCAATTGTTTTACGCCATTCACCCTTCAACGGATTGTAAAATAAATAGAATTGTTCTTCTTTTGGAACATTTCTTATATTGATATAATGAAAATCGAATGGAACTTCATTATAATGACCAAAGAAATGAAGTCGAATAGAAATCGAATGGATGTTTTTGTTCGATATTTCGATAGAAAATGGTTCACAATTTAATTCTTGTTTTTTTCGATCACCAATAGTCATTTGAATCGATTTGAAAAGTGTAAATGGAATCTCAGCATTGTCTGGATCACGACCTTCGATATTAATCTTTGATTTATTCATATCAGGATCATTTTGACATATGATACGAACACGTCTTCGAAGAATCCATGGCGGTATTGGTATATTCAATCTTTCCATTAAACCTTTCATAATTGTATCGCTAAATGTATGAATATTTATTATTGCACGATTATACAGTGGTGTGCGTTGAAGATTGCCAATGATCAATTTTTTCTTTCGTTTTGCTACTTGACGAGGAATATCACTTGCTGGTGTGACCGTTAAGCTACTACCTATATATTTCAATCAAAATTAACACGATGGAATTTATTTGTGTACTGTAATCCTACCGAGAACAAGACAAACGTCGGCTTTTTCCGCATGGTTAAACGCTTTGTTCAACTCATCTTCAGGCAAGTTTTCACCAAAATTAATAAGTGAATCTTTTAATTGACCACGACAGTCAGATTTGTCACATCGACGACCAGTATAATGATCTGAACGATTCATATCCGTATCAAAATCTCGTAAATATTTAGCATGACATTTTTCACATGTTTCTAAATTCATATTTCCATGTAATTCAGCGACATATGCTGGATTCATGCCGCTACGTAAATGTAGACCATCACAATTTTGTGAAATTAAACATTTGAGAATACCACGACGTTGTAATTCAACGAGAGCCCTAGAGTAAAAATCTGAATTTTGTTTCATTTTCAAATTCAAATAAAACAATATACATGTGAGAAGGTGATGGTATTGCTTGTTGGATGTCGTCAATGATTTTAGCTTTATTCGATCGAAATTTTTTATTGCTAAGATAGATAAAAAGTCGATGTATAAGACAATGATATGAAATTGACTTACTCTTGTAATTCCCACTCACCAGGTCCTGTGGGTAATACAGTATCCATCGCACTACGAAAATCTGGAATTCCAGTTGATGTCGATACTCCTGCACCTAAAATATACACAAACGAATGTTTAAAAAATATTTCGCAATACTCAAACATACCTGTAAATACAATAAAATGTTGACTTTCTTTTATCCATTGTGCTAATTGATCTAATTTGGCATTGAGTTCTATCTGTGAATCGAAATATTCTTTTTTACATTCAGGATCTGAAATACCGTGAGCCATATTTAAATATTTCGTATACGACTGTGTTGTGAAATTTTGAAATAACACTGACAGAGAAACAAAATCGTTATACGTCTCTTTATAATAACATATCTTGCGCAATTCGTAGGTAAGAAACAAATGCTCACAGAAGAACACGTGATGAGTCATTTAATGGTCCAAATACTCATCAGAAAATATATTTCTCATTAAATCTTATATAGAATGAACAAGGTCAAATATAGGAAAGCTGTAGTGAGATTTTTCGTCGAGATGAATCATTGTTTACCATTATATACAGCTAATCTCCTTGTCTACATTGTGCAATGTCTTCTCATTCGAATCTCAAAAAATAGATTTATTTCACATTTGCGATAAGTTCTGTACTTAATTAACTCAAATACAATTTAAATCTTTCAGTTGGTCTAATTAATACTATTCACGTAGTTCTATGCTAGTATTGAGTTAACAATTGAAAAAAAAGAAGTAATGATTTTTTTGTCTGTATTTGTAAAATCTGTCAGATCTGTTGAATGCAATCTGAAAAGTACAGATTTGAAGTTTCCAGTCGTTCACTAATACCATTTGATATCGATATTACTAATGATGAAATAAATACTTAAGATTAATTGTAATCCTGAATTTGTTGGTATTTTTTATATTATAAAAGGTAGATAATAAAGATGTGAGTGAAGGTTTTATAATTACTTATAAAATCTATCCATATGTATATTTTTATATGCTGCACTACAGATTATGTAAAAAGCAGCAAAAATTTAATGTTACTGAGATCGAACGCAAGTCACATAAGATATGATGCAATTATACAGGTTTTGAGACATACTAATATATTTCGTTCTTATTACAATTATATTCTACATAAACTTTCTGTTATGAACATACAACAATAAAAAGAAACAGATAAGTGATTGTGTCTATATAGAAATGATAGACTGATACAAGACTAATATCTATGTATAGTGTTTGATAAAAACTTCTCAATTCTACGACACATTTTTTTTCGACTATTTAGATATAAGTATCACAACTTAATAAATAAAATAATCGTCGGTTCATCCAAAGTCGAATTTAAACATCTATATTAAGATTTTTAATAGTACTTTTCGTTGACGAGTGTGTTATATTGATTTGTACATAATCTTCATCCGGAAATAACGAGAATTCTGTAATAAATAGTGAATAGAACGATGATACTTCTGTGATTTACTATTGCATATTGTTATACTTATCTGAATATGACTTAGTAGAATGTATTAAATAAATAATGATTTATTGAAAAATAAAAGTATAGAGTGTGAGTCTGGCATGTTATAGATAATATCATTGTTATTTCAACAGATTTATCGCCAGAAAATAAAATGTAATCTTTCAAGATATAGCATGTTATATAGAATAAGTCGTGTATCTTTGTTAAAGCATCCTGTTCGTAAAAATACTGTCTTGTAAAAGGATTATTTGGAATCTATTTACTCATAGAACGGAGTATACTACATAATCGAAAACAATGTAAGGCAATGCTAGACAAACGAAAAAACATTGGAATATTTATCTTGATAGTGTTAAGATCATGTCATTATATAAGTAGAATAGTGTATCTTATATTTATTTATATAATTTATTGAATTTGAAGTATTTTAGTTTACGAATTTATATTATCTTCTCAAATCATCGAAACATGTATTTTTAAATTTCGAATAGAAAACTTATAAGTACACTAAAATATCATAAAGAAATAACAGAAATCTATTATATGAGAAAAGAACACTTGATTTCGTAGTAAGATTAACGTTTTTGATGATAATCGTTTCTCTTTATAGATTTTATATATGTACTTCAAAAAAAAATAAGCGAACAAGAAAAAAGTAGGATATCTTTTTTTGTGCATTAATTTGAAATCTTATTCTTCGGAATTTAAATTAGTTCCATTGATGGACTTGTTGTGCACAAGTTTGTGTCGTATTTTCATAAAAAGCAGTAATCAATTCCAGATCTTTAACTTTACACACATCTAAACCATTGAAAGTATATATGATAGATATCGTAAAACAACCTTTCTTTCGATATAGTTCGACTATTTATACATAATATATCGTACAGTAGTAGCAGAGTCTTCTACACTATCATGTATATATTTATATGAAATTTGAATCAGTATTTTTATAATAATCAATTGCATTATTTCGCGTCTGTTCGTTGTTTGCAAATCGTAAACTAATTAAAAGTACTCTGGCAGCAATACTTCTTCGATAACTTGAAGACATGTCAATAAGGCTAGAAAGTCAAAAAAAATATTTCTAAATATTCATATATTCAATTTTTTTCATTAGTATTACTATTATTTTATAGTAGCATGTTTTCTGAAAAATCTTATTTCATATAAAACAGTCTTGAGGAAAAAACGAATATTTATTGTATTTCAAGATCATAAAAACATTCCATAATGAATAATTTCGACTGCAAAAATAGAATAAAATATAATAAATTTCCTGAGTCAATTTAATTCTATGATACAGTTAAACACAATAAGCATAAATTTATGCATGCTATCACTTATATAGAGATACCGTGTAATTTGTATTTAAGATATGATCTTTGGCGACCTCTTATGGAATTTTAATATGATAATACTTAATTTACATTAAATATAGAAGAATCATGATCGAAATAAAATAAATTCAAACAATCTTTTTGAATACTGTTAACATGAAAATATTTATTTTGACTATTATTTGATAATGCCACATACAATGTATAGTTGACATTGCTAGTAACACACTCTCTCTCATGCCTATTATTCGTCTTTGAACATTGAAAAATATCACTTGACGTACAACGGCAAATAATCGCGAATGATGTTCAAGGTTTCTCATTATATTCAACTACGAATTATTCATAATGGCAGATTAAAGGATAGATATTGAATGAATGTGTCGCTGGTTTTTGTTTCTTGTTCTTACCATTGTAAAATGCAATGGTAATAACAACACAAATTCTACTCGTTTATTAAATCTTCTACAACGACAATACGAATATCAAAATCTTAGTAAATTAAGTGCTCTTGAATTTCCATTTGATTTAGGTAAATAAATATTATAAATTATTAATTAGTAATGTATACATTTCTTTTAGTCGGACAAATTACTCATATTAGTATTGATACATTAACAGTAAAAACGAAATATAATGGAACAACACGTATTAAATTAGCATGTATATATACAACTAATATATGGAAAGCAGCTTTTTTACGTAAACATCCTCTTGAACCACTTACATACAAGTTTGTATTCAATCGATAGAATTTATTTTGTTAATTATTTTCAATTATTTCAGACCTTTAGAAGCATTTGTTAAACGTGATGATCTTGTTCGTGTACATGTTATTGATCGTTCCTTGCAATCACCAGGAGCTTATGTTTTTGGTGAAATATATAATTTAGCAAAAAATAATTTAAATATAAATAAAGAACTTGTACGACATGGTTTAGCTGAATCAGCACCAACAACACTTTCATCGTGTGATTCAGAATATTTTCTTCTTGCACAAGAACAACCTCACAAATCAAATGTTCGTTTAGCAACATCACGTGAACGACGTTCAGTTCCACAACATTGTTCATCACCACGTTCAGAAATTGAACAAGAAGAATGTCAACATGTTATTGATGATAGACATTATAATTATATGACTATACTAGTCAGTACGGTAGCTATTATTGCTTTTGTAGCAAATTTCGAAGCATAATCAACATGTTTTTTTTTGTAATTGATAAAAATAAATTGTATATTAGTTATATTAGTAGATATTATTCTTGTGTTCTTTTGCTTTGTTAATTGTAAAAAATTTGCTTTTAAATAACTAAAAAAAAAGAAATAGTCATTGTCATAAATCAAGACCATGTTATTGAACTTAATCCCATAGTCGGAATTATAAATATGTTTTGATGCAAACTTCATCAGAAATTTGCTTTTTATCAATAAAATCTTTCAGAAGTTAAGAAGATTATATTTTCGAAAAAAAAACTGTTTTAACTTTAATAGATTCATGAAATATTTTCTCGATTACTGATAATTGTTATGTTGTTTTGTCTAGTCTAGTTCTTTTGAAACTGTGCTAATGAGGTTCTAAAAAAAAGATCAAATGTCTGAATTATGAATTTTGTAATGACTTCCTTTGTATTATCCAGTTATACAAAAGGTGTTGATATATCACATACTTATCGAATGCAAAATAGATTTTAAAAATAAATGCACTTTTTCTGATGTTATATTATTAATGGTTCATGAATAAGATAGGATATACGCATATTGTGTATTTGAAATAATGAGTACGAATGATAGATTACTTTGAATAAAATCAATTTGAAAAATCAATAAAATAAATTGTATTTGTTTTATTTTCTTTTAATTGAAAATAATGATTGTCAAATATTGATCAATATTTATTTGATAAACTTGATATGTACACTTTAAAATTACTAAATGATAGAGCAACACATGTGATCTATATTATATAGATATGCATCTAATATATAGCAAAGTAAATGAATTACTGAGTCTTGTGTTTTAGTTCCGGAAACAACCGAATCCGTGTTTCCTAGTCTGCTTCCTCGTTCGATATATTTTCATTTTTAACAACGTATAATATCCTAATAAGAATCAATTCATTTCAAATTAGTTATACATCTGAAGACTTTAATAAGAATCTTTTCGAGCAACTCTATCGCTTCGCAACACTTATATTATATATATTTCTTTCAAACAAACAATCGATTTGTTCTTACATATTGCAATCAATGCATTTTTATTTACGTACACTTGTTGACATACTACAATAATAAAAAAGTGTACTCAACTCATTTATACTTCTTGTTTGACAGTCGAGTAAATATAAAAGGTAACAATTTTTTTTACGAATGTTCATAGTGTCTCTTTATTCTTTCTTCTCGTCGTCCGCTTCTCGGTTATGTGATCCACTCTCTTTTTCTATTGCCTGCATCGTAAGAAGTCACCATCTCTACAATGTACGTCAGTTCTTTAGTATAAAAAAAAATGTTAGAAAGAATAATTCAAGACACCCTCATTTTTCCATCTTTCTTCTTCCTGATTCAAATATATCCGGTTAGAATTTTTTTAAAGAGTCTATTTTTGTTTGTTTTTTTTAATATGTGATAATAAACAATGCCGAACGTCAAGTTGGCGGTATCAGCAATTTACATAATAAGAAACAGAGAGAATATTATCAAATTATTAAGATGTCCTTTTCATCTTTATGTAAGAGTCGGTAAAAAGAATAGAGGAAGGAAAAGAAACCTTCTTTTTGTAATAAAAAAATAAGAAATTAACAATGACACTGTTAAAAAGAAGAAAAAAAAGTAAGGTAAGTTGAGTCTTTCGTTGCCTGAGATTATACAGAAAAAGAATAATTAATTGCACACAAATGAATCTGATTAAACATTACCGACACATGTCTACATGGTACCTACTGGAAACTATTTTAAATACAAAAACAAAAATAAGTATCTTTTTTTTATTGCCTATGAAGATTTATTAGAAGCTAATATTTTATTAAACAATTCATTGTGGAAGTTAATCTTTATTTCATCTCTCAGCTTTTTTCCTTTTGCAAATTGTCAGGATAATAAGAAAAAAAAACATGTTTTTTCATTACATTAAAAGTCATAGCAACTTTTCCATGGATGAACGCCTTTATCCTTGTTTTTTCTTTTTTTCTCTAATAATTTTTTCATCAGATGGAAAGTAAATTGAAACGAGATAATAACGACGTATTATAAGCAAAAGATTTATCATGCATAAAAACGTAGATATTATAATCTAATTTTCTTTTTTACTTTTCTCAGATAGAGAAGAAATCTTTTACTAGAAGATTGTAAGTCAGTAATGAAAGTAAAGTAAATATGATGTTATTAAATGTTGAATCTCAAATTGATCTTTTAGATTTATATTTTATATAGAAAATAAATGACGCCTGACATTATTGTAAATCCAACAGAAAAATCTTTGATTAATGATTATGAACATTCAAAATATAAACGTTATGGATGGAGAAATTTTCGACTTGATGGAATTTTAAGTCAACCATTATTTGCTTATATTATATTATGTATTTGTAATTTTGTTCAAAATTTCAGTGTTAATGGCGCAAATAATGCTGTTATATCAACACTTGAACGTGTATTCTTTTTGAATAGTGTTCAATCGGGTCTTTTCTTATCATTACATGATTTAGCAACGGTATTTTCATCACCATTTGTCGGCTATTTAGGTAGTCGATATTCATCACCAATATTTTTTTCATTAAATATGATTATTGTTGGATTTGGAAATATGGTTATTGCTTCAAGCAATTTTGTTTATCGTGATTCATCAATGAATTTTAATTCTGATCTCCCTCAAATCTTATCAACATATAATAATGTTCTTTTTCAATGTTATAAAGATCCATTTAATCAATTCAATATAACTGACGCCTCATGTTTGAAAGATAATGTTTTAGGAAATGCAGCGAAAAATGCAAAACTTGTATTATATCTTGGAAGTTTTATTAGCGGTATGGGCGGTGTAGCTTTACCGATTGTAGGTATTGCATATATTGAACGTATATTTCCACGTGAAAAAGCGACTTATTGTCAAGGAATTTATTTTGCTGTTGGCACAGTAGGTGGTGCCCTTGGCATTGTAGCTACGGGTCGATTTTTATCAATTTATACAAAACTTACTAATAGAAAACGACTTCCATCTTGGTTAACACCTAGTAATCCACTTTGGGTTGGATGTTGGTGGTTACCTTTTTATCTTTATGGAGGATTATGTTTACTTCTTGGATTATTTATATCTGGTTTACCAAATTATGAAAAACCGGGTACAAAACATTTGACTAGTACATCTACTGAAAATAATCTTAATGCATCAAGTAAAGAATTTATTATTATAGTTCTTGAAAACAATAACATTCTTTCTTGTTTAGATCTTTCTATTAGTCGACAAGACAGCCAGACTACTATTTCAATTCTTAGTTCACGTCCACCAACACCTGCTGTATTCAAACATGGATCTGAATCAGTTACTAATTTGAAAACTTCATCTGAAAATATTTTACCTCCATTGGAACCACCTTTCACTGAATATCGTTTATCACATCGAAAATTAAGTCCACTGGAAAAAAATTCATTAGCTGTAAATGAAAAAACGGAAGGTGTTATTAATCATGCCTATTCAACAGAATCAATGCCTAATCAATTACCAACTACTGCTCCAACATTTAATGTCATACCAACGCTTGAAGCTTTACCAAAAACAGTATCTGAGAATCTTCGAGAAATGTGTGCTGTTATACGTGAATTAATGAAAAATACGCGATATGTTTTCATTACGATTGCCTTTTTATCAGAAGGCATTTTAATAAGCGGTAAACATTTTACATATTACATACAAAAAAATATATTCATTCTATTTAGGATTTGTACCATTTATTACAAAATATTTTCAATATCAACATCAGTTAGATACATCAACAGCTACATTATTAACTGGTGCAATTGCTTTACTGTCAATTATTTTTGGTTGTCCTATTGGTGCCTATTGTATAAATAAATTTTCTTGGACACCAATGAAATGTGCACGTGTTTGTAGTATAGTATTTACAGGTTCAGCATTTCTATTTTTATTTCTGACGCTCACATGTCCAGAACTTAAATTTGAATATACAGCTTGTTCTAATCAGAATACAGTTTGTTGTCATAATGTATATCAACCCGGTAAGATTCTAATAATATAATTGAGTTTTAAAAATAAATTTTTATTTAGTTTGTCTTGAAAGTAATCCTAAAGAAATGTTCTTATCACCATGTCATTTTGGTTGTACGAATGAAACAGTTGCTAGCAACGGTAACACTTATTATTCAACATGTAATTGTGCAGCTGATGATTCCGTAACAGTAACTGAATCTGCTTGTCGATTTCGACGAATACCTTGTAAATAAAATTCATTTTTTATTAAATCAAATATTTTCTATGATAATATATTTATTTTAGGTTCTTCAATATTTGCTTTGGCAATGGCAGGTGCTACATTGGTTGTCTTTTTGACAGCATTTATTCAAGTACCAATGTTACAAGTACTTTTATATAGTGTACCACTTCCTTATCATAGTATGGCACTTGGTGTTCGTCAAACAATTGTTAAAGTTTTCGGTCAAACTACTGGTCCATTATTATTTGGTTTTGTTTTTGATGAATCATGTTTAGTATGGCTTGTCGATTGTTATAAACGACGAACATGTACAGTATATGATAATCGTAAAATGGGTATATCAATGGCATTATCAGGCTTTTCAGCTCGTTTAATATCGGGTATTTGTTGTATTATTGTTTTTACTAATTGGAGATTAAAACATTCAAATGAAATTGTAAGACCTCCAAATTCGACAAGAGTAGATCCAATGGTTCCAATAAATAAAAATGAAGACAGTGAAAAAAATTAATTTATCAACTATGTTAAAATTAAAAGCATAACGGTGATTTATATTTTATCTTATTTTATTATTGTTGTTATTTTTTCGTATCTCTCTCTGTCTCTATTTTTCTCACAATACATAGTAATTGTGTGTAAAAAGGAAAATATCGGTCATTAAAAATGAGAGTTTCTTTTTTTTTGTTTATATAAAAGTTTGTCTGTAAAAATGAATTTTTTGTTGTAATTTTTTTGTCAAAATAAAACAATATTATAAGTACAAAGATGATCCTATTACGTAGATTATAAAAAAAGCAAAGTATGGACGTCAGCAAACTTTTGTGACATTTGACAATCTCATTAAAAATTAAATGATTATAAGATAAAATTTGTATACATCTGTCAAATCAAGAGAAAAACAAATACTATTAAAAAATCTCGAATAGTATATATTTTATTTGAATATCTAAATTCATCCATAGTAACAACTATAAAACTCATTTGTGCTATTTAATTCTTTATTTTTTTTTGTTATTATTTAAAATGACTGATCGTACTTTAATTGAAAAACTTAAACAACAGATTGCAAACGCAACTAACCTCAATAAATTATTTGAAAATGAAAAATTTTTAAATGAACTAAAAAAATTATCATCAACTGGACAATTAGAAATTTTCAAAGAACATAAAGATAAATTTATTGAATTAAGTAAGAATCCACAATCAGCAATCGCAAAATGGACTGGCAATTTACCGAATACTGATACTGTAATACAACAAGGACAAAAACTAATTGAAAATGTGAGACATAGTCTTAAATAAATCAGTATAAATTTATTTGAAAATAACTAATAAAAGTTGATATATATATATATACATTTATTTTTTATTTCTAATTAAATAACAATAATAGTCAGAAAATTTAACTAAGGATGATAAGCATCAGCAATTCTTTGTAATTCAACTAATTGTTGTTCAAGTAATGCAATATCTTTATCTATTGATTTTAATGTTGCACTTTTTGATACCCATGTATGTATAAGATCGGCAACAGAAATAATAACGGATACACCAAGAATTTTTCCGCTAATTGTTCCAGCTGTTTTAGCACCAGTTGCAAGAGCACCAGCTAATGATGGCAATTGTCCTACAAGTTCAGCCCACGACCCTAATGTTGAAGCTGCTTGAATAGCTTGAGAAAGTTGTAAAAAATTCACTCCTGCTTTTGATACGGAATAACCAAGTGAATAAACAGTAACAAGCCATGCTGTTATATCTTTTAAATTTGATTCACAAATTTGCATTGCCATTGAATCTTCTCTTAACATATTTGTATATTTAGTTCGTAGACGTTTTTCAATAACACTTTCTGTAATTGAAGTGCCTAGAAATCATAAATAATTATATATATATCGAAATAAAATAAATTAATAAACATACCAAGACTAGTGGCAGTACCAGCAAGTAATACTGGAACACCAACAGGTGGAAAAACAAAACATAAAATTCCACCAATAATAGATGCTGAATTACCAACTGTATTAGCAATTTTTCCATTTAAAATATGTTTAGCCATACGTGTACGAAGTTCTTTTAAACCTACAATTGTTGCTTGACGTTTTTCAAGAAAATCTTTTAATGGTTCAATTGATGGAGGTTCAATAACTGCAGGTGCGCCAGGTTTTTGTTCTTCAGCTATTGATTGTAATTCAACAAGTGTTGGATATGGTGTAAGTTTAACAGGTGATTCATCGACTTGATCTTCTTGATCTTTAACTTCTGTTGCAACCGTATCCAATACTGGATATAAACCATCTGGCTTGAAAATTGGTTCAATATAAAATTTACTCTTCATCATATGGTTTTTTGGTAATGGGACTAAACCAGCACCAGCTAATGCTTCCATTGTGAAACTTGTCGTTTTTCTTTTATATCTAAATGAAGAATGTTCTTGTTTTTTTTCTACAAAGTATGCAAACTTTAGTTCTCACCTTTCGTAAATATGTTATTAATCTTGATGCTCTTTTCGTTCTTGCTTTTTTTTATGATGGAATGATGGAGCGATGCAATACTATTTATTCGAAAACGTTCTATGTATTCCTTTTTTCAAACAATTTTTATATTTCTCTGTCAGTCAGCAGCACTTGTATATGAGTCATAATGGAAATACAGCCTACGCATGCAGGAGTAGTAAACTTCTGTTCTTTTTTTTTGCTTGAAGGCGTTGTTCTTCGTTCTTTTTTCTCCTTCAAGCATCGTTCGAGAAGGTGAAGAAGAAAAAAGAACGCTACTGGTTCTATCACTGCCTCGTTCTTTCAAGGCGATGACGCATCCAGTATTGAGTCAGAAAAAAAAAGAAATGAATATATATTCTGTCATTTTCATAATATGAATCAAATCACATAATTGACATAAAAGTAAACTTGTCAATAATCGATCAAAAAAAGATTGAAATAATGAAATTCATTTTCAATTTACATAAAATGAATCACATAGAAAAATACTTTTAGGCGAATAAAGGTTATAATCTAATTATTATTTGACGAATGAATATCCATGCTTCACATTTAAATGTTTAATCAATAGAGAATTCTATATTTTTTTTTGCAATAACAGTAACTGATTTGCATCATGTTACGGAATGGTTCTAGATTTTAAAATATATATAAATTGCGTGTTGATATATCCTCAATAACTATTAAGACTTTTTACTGTAATATGAATCGATACATATTAACAAGCATCTCATTGTTTATGAAAACTTTATAATCAGTGATAAATTAAAAACAGTAGTTAACTGTATGTCAGTTGTTATTTTTAGTTTGTCTAGGTAGTCATCATTATTCAAGATAAAAGAATAGGTATGCATACACAAACACACAGAAAAAAATCTCAAATTCAAGCAACTGCTGTAATCGACTACCGTATTTTGTTTTATTCTTTTTTTTATCAAATTGAATATAACCCACCTACATATTTGTACGAATAAGAATTGTGATTCATTGAAAAATAGCGATTTCTTCAATCGAAACGATGAATATTTAGTTTAGTGACAAATAATAACAAAAGGTGAAAGAGAACACACGAGTCATAAATTACCTGTGAATCTCTCACAACATTCCTGTGTTTTTTCTTTTTTCTATAACTCATACATTATCATCACTGGTTGCTGACACATACCGTGCTTCTATACGAACGAAAGAAATATCATACTAAAAAAGGAGAAAAAAAAATAATTGAGTAGGAGGAGTCAAGCTTTAACTATATATATATAAAAAACGAAACTAAATAAATGTTAAAAGATACAAACTCATTGTAAAACAGAATAAAGATGTCCTCAACATCGTCAAGAACTTCAGCTAATGACAGCACTTCTGCATCAACATATCGTGTCAACTATTCAGAATATGTAGCAGAGTAAGTATCAATATCTCACACTTTTTTTTTTGTTGTTGATTGTATTCTATTGATAGTCATAGAATAGGTTAATAGTTATAAAAAAAATAATGCTAATCGATTTCGAAGAGGACTTTTTTTATATTCTCTAAAGGCCTGAAATATGTAAAACATAATGTCACAACACTCTAAATCAACAAAGTCGACGTTGTTTTTTATGAATCGTATTTCGTTTTTTTTCTTTTATTTTACTCAGTTACTTTACCTATTTTTGTATTTTAGTATTACTAATAGTCCAAAAACATCACGCAAGTTAGCAACAACCGGTATTGGACATCATATCAATCCATTACATAATCAATATCCAAATCGACCAAATCAACCAACACAACCGCAACAACAACATACAGGAGGAATGCCACAATACGGTGGTGCTGCTGAAAAATGTGCTCGATGTTTAAAAGCTGTCTATTTAGCAGAAAAAAAAGTTGGAGCTGGCCGAGTATGTATTTTAATTAGTAATCAAATTTAATAAATTAAATATTGTTTTTTTTTGTCTAGTCATATCACTCCAGTTGTTTCAATTGTTATACATGTAAACGAAAATTAGATGCAACAACATTATCTGAACATAAAGGTGAAATTTATTGTAAACCATGTTATACAAAACAATTTGGTGCTCATGGTTTAATCAGTGGTGTAACAATGTCAACTGAACATACAACAACACATCAAACTTATACTTCACGTCGTTCATCAGTTGGTAATGATCTTGATAGTACACCTGCTCCAACATTCCAACAAACAAGACAACGTGCTAATTCAAGTGAAAATCTCTTTCGAGATGATTATAATCCAACAAAAAATGATCAATTCTCACAAAAATATCCACGACCTATCGATGTCTCATATGAACAAACATCAAATAAGAAAAATAATGGAGTTGATATTCTTGTTGATACAAAATATCAAAGACCATCCAGTCCAACAGGATTCGCAAAACCTGTTGATACAAAATATCAAACACCAACTAGTCCAATTGGATTCGAAAAAGTTGTTGATACAAAATATCAACGACCATCAAGCCCAATAGGTTTTGGAAGACCTGCTGATACAAATACCAATAATAATCAGCAACGACCAAGTCAAATTGAAGACGATCGAAGAAAATATTCATATGATGGTGATAGAATATCTTATGGTAGTGGAGCATCAGCTATGGTTGATATACCTATTGTTGTACAAACTAAACGATCAGATACAACAATTGATCGAATGGAATTGCCAGTTAATCCAATAAGAGATAATGAACGTAGTCGAAGTCCATCAATAACATCCAATGATTCTTATCAACGACAAAGTAATCTTTCAGGTAAAATAAACTTTCTATTGTTTATCAATATAATCATCATCTTCTTTTGTTATAGATGACTATTCTCGTTTACATATCAATGAAGATAAAAATAATCAAAAATATTCCAATGATAATTCAATGAATACAATTCCATCGAAAAATCCACTTTCAACACAAAATTATTATCATTCATCATCAACATCATCATATGAAAGTAAATATAGAGGTTCAACATCAAATACAAATAATTATGAACGTGAACAATTTCGTTCACGAGAATCATCACCATCAGCAGTTGCTCCTAATCGATATCAATCATCTTCACCAACAACTGGTTATAGTTCATCATCAACAACAATACGTACTTATCCAGTAGAAACAACACCTTATAAACCACAACATGAGTATTTTAATGTAAGATTTGTTTTTTTTGTTATTCTTATGTATAATAATTGTTTTTTTTTCAACATTTTCAGACTCAAATCTCAACAGACTTGGATGAACGACGTCCATCATCAACATCATCGCAAAATACTTCTCGCGTATCAACAGGTTTAACTGATTTCGTAGCAAAAACAAATATTGCAGGACATTCAACTGGCAATAACTTTTCAGCATTAGGTGCCTTAATTACTAAACCTCGACACCAAAGCGATGATGATTTTGATAATTAAAAACTTCCATTGCTTATTTTTTTTTTGATCATTGGTATTTTGTAGTTGTCTGCTTGATTTATTTTTTATACGCTCGTTTTTTTATTATTATTTTAATCGTTGAACAAAGAAAAGATAAAGAAACTTATATATATATATATATATTTAAATTCAATTCAAATCTTATTGCATTAAGTTATTTGTTTTTATTCGCTTGTTGTACGGTTTTCTGTTTTGTTTCACTAGCATCAAAACAATACATACAAACACAGATACAGAAACATATAATGAAGAAGAGGAGAAAAAAAAAGAACAAGAAACACAAGCGGAAGAAAGAAACATACTCATAGGATTTTGTTTTATCGAGTAATTTTTTTTAAACCTTTCTGTACAGAATAATAAGAAAGAAAAAAGTGAGAATTTAAAATATTTCTTGGTTACTCTCTCTATCTCTCTTTGTAAATCGTCTTACTATTTGGACGAATACATTTTGGTTTTATGTTAATGAATCAGATTGTATTTGAGAAGTAATAACAGATTGGGATGATGAAAGAGTATTTTCTGTATTATGATCAACATTTTTTTCCACTGTTGTTATATGTTGACCTTGTTTAGCTAACAGTGCACGAAGGATAGCACTAAAATCTATACTATTTGTCGATGATGTTGAAGGATTTATAGATGAATTCGTTGATGAATTTTTTGTTTTTTGTTGATGTTCAAGAAGTAATCGATTAAGAACTTGTACAGTTGGTAAAGAAGTTTGTTGTTGTGGTTGATTTTGAGATTGATTATTATTATTATTTATTGAAGATTTCGTATTTGATAATGATGATTTACGTTTATGTATATTATCTGTTGATGAATTTGTTGATTCATGACGAATAAAATATGAATGATCATGATATACAATAGATGCAGGAGAATTTGGATCAATTGTTATATATATTGGCACAGATGTTGTTGAATGACGTGCCTAGAAAAATTCAAATTATTTAGATATAAAAACAAAAGAAATAATTTACGCGTTTTGAACTTGGTATTGGAACATATTCGGCTTCATCATCATTATCATCATCACTTAAACCAGCTAGTTGTCGATAATTTTTTCTTGGTCTTGTATTATTATTTTTATCTCGAGTTATTGTTGTTGATGTTGATTCATGTAAACGTCTTTTTAGTGGATTAAAATCATCAATATCATCATCAAAGTGTGGTGTCATCGGTTGACATTCCGACCAACATTCTTTAAAATAACGAAGAAGACGATTCGCTAATCGACCCATAACTAAAAATTAAAATGAAAATAATTACATTGTCTTTTTGTTTAGTTAACTTACTGCTTCGTTTGCCATTGTACTGTTCGCAATTAGCTACCATTAATTCAATATCTCGAATAAATTCCGAAGAATTATTAACATAAATTTTATTATTTATTTTTTCTTGTATTGTTGATAGATCAATTGGATTCTAAGTATAAGACAAAATATATTTTATATTGATTAAAATTCTAATTTTACTTCTATAATTGTGAAATAATTAGGTGCTAATTCTTCAGTAACAGGTTCAAGAAATGGCCAACTGTTCTCATTTGTTCGTAATAAAGTTATTACTAAAAATAAATCGATGATTTTTAAAACTATATAAATCATAATAATATTACCTTTTTGATGTACATCACTGGTGTCTAATCGATTACTAGATTCATCATTTAATGCTGATGATTCATTGCTATTTTCTGATAATTCTGAACCATCAGCAATACCTGTTAATGATCCAGCTGCTGCACGTCGTCGAATACGATCAGCACGTTCTTTAAAATAAAAATAAATTTATGTTACAAAATTAGTTCTAAAATTATTATTATTATTATTATCAAACCTTCTCTTCGTTTGACACGTTCATTACGTTCTAAACGTTCTTTTTCTTTTGCAATTGTTTCTTCTTGTCGACGTTTAAATTCAAGAAATTTTTCATGTCGTGTTTTTTGTTCTTGTGTTATTTCTTCGAATTCAAGACGTTGCTGTCGTTTAGCTTCAAGACGTGTTGATGAACGTTTTGGTTCATAAGATGTCCAACGACGTTGTCTATCACGTTCTTTACGTGCATATATTTCAGGTAATTCAGTAATTAAAGTTACTAAACGTTCTAATAATTTTCGATCTTTAAGACTTGAATTTTTTCTCGAACATGTTTTACGAAAATTTTCAATAAATAAATTCCATTCATCTAATGTACGACATACACATTCCCATGTTGATGTTCTAAATAAAAAAATGGAAGAACTGAACATCTGGTAGATATATATACAAATAATTGATTGGAAACTATTGCAATGCTTAAGTACGTTTAAAAACTTTATAGAACAAACCACTTAAGCACTTCATCTAATTGTATACTTAGATGTCGTAGTTTTTAGGATTTTTTAAAAATCTTATTATGAAACAATAAAAGTTAGACTAAGTGAAAGAACTTACTCAGTATCTTTACTCGATGAATCAATATAAAGACGAGTATCGCCAAAATACCATAATTTATTTCCACGTGAATCCTCACCAAATGGTTCAAAGCGAAGTGAATCAGCTGGCATATTCTAAAAAGAAATCATTTAATCATTCTAATTTATTAAATTTTTGTTTTATTACTTCTGTAACTTGTTCAATATCAGGTCGATTAAGTCTTGAGTCACATAAAGAACGCAATACTGTAACTTTTTCGAAGATTCCCATTTCTTTCCATTCAGTTGTTGATATTGTATCATCGGATATTGTCATAACAAATGATGAAATAGAAGAATCAATAGTCAGATCACATCGTTTGAGTACATTGCTTAACATCATAAACATATTACCCGAACTTAAAAAACAAATATTATTTAATAAATTTTCATATTCAGTAAGACAACTTACTTGACATGTAAACGTGTTAATCCGGAAAGTAATGATATAAGAAGTTCTTGAAGAAATGGATGAATTTCATCTGGATTATCAGATAATAAAGCATCTTCCAATTCCTAGAAAAAAACAATTTTTCGAAATAAAATAATCATATTTATTACTATGTTATTATTTACCTCTTGATGAAAATCGAAGAGTTGAAAAGCATCACAAAAAATTCGTGCATACAAAGATATATAAGGAATTTGCCAACTATTTTGCAAAGCTATTTAAAAAAAAATAAATAAACAAATTCAAAATGTTCTATTGACTTACTTTTTTGTATGTTTGATAATTGTGCATCGGGCCATTCGGATGACATGGCCCTGGTTATTGTTGTTGTTGTTGTTGTTTACTTCTAAAAAACAAAACATCATTGTGTGAGTCATTATTACAGCTGACCGATATATAACTAGTTTAGTAAATCTGATGAGTCATCTTTTGAGGTTTGCTTTTATTTAAACTATTTTAATTTGATTTTTGTTTCTTTTTGTTGGATGTTTATAAAGAAAGGCTAATCAATAGAGTATGGAAGTAGGAATATTTTGTATTGAAAATTACAAATAAAATTTATTCTTTTCTATAACTAAGTTTTTTCAATGAACAAAAGAGTTTTTTTCTGTACACCTTGATTTGCTTATTAAGTTCTGTACCTATATCAATAAGGAGAAGCGTTTCTTTTTTGCAATATATTAAGCAATGTAAAGCATAGTGCAGATGACGTCACTCATTCTGTTGTTTTTTTCTTCTTTTTTTTCCTGTTTTGATATAATTAACCAATAAGAAAATTTCTTCGACGAAAAATAAAAATCTTATTTTTGAAATTTTCTTCTTAAAAATAATATTCATAATGATTAGAAGTTAGAATTTATTTTAATATTAGATATATTATCTTTAAGAAAAGAGGTCACTACAATCATATTTTGTTCTTGATTACACGATTGATATTTTGACTGAGTTTATTTGTTGGTTTTTTTTGTTTTACTGAAAAAAAACGAAAAGATTTTACTAAAATAAATCATGTTATCAAGTTTTAATACTCTTTCACGTGTTGGTACGTATGAATAGATTAAATTTTGTTTCTATGATTGATTTATATTTCGATTGAATAGGTATTCCACGATTAATTATTACTCGATCAATATTTTTTCGTGATAAAAAAAATGAAAATCATCCACCAGAACCATTTAAAAGTTCCATACCACCTCATCTTGAAAAACAACAACAAAAAGCACTTGAAGAATATAAAACAAATGAAGATCCATCACTTCAATGTTACGGTAAATTTTATTCATTTCTCAAAAAGAATGTCAATACTATATGTATATTCTTTTATTAGTTAATGTTAGTGAACCATTGCCATCACTTGATATGTATCAAACAACAAAACGTGGTCTTCAAGTACTTCTTTGGACAGATTTACTTAAAGGTTTTATGATTGCTTTGGGTTGGTTATTACGTGAACCGACAACAATCAATTATCCATTTGAAAAAGGTCCACTTTCTCCAGTAAGAATAAAAAATTTCCTTACATGATTTTTGTTTTCTTATGAATAAAAATATTTATTTATAGAGATTTCGAGGTGAACATGCTCTTCGTCGATATGCATCAGGTGAAGAACGTTGTATTGCATGCAAATTATGCGAAGCTATTTGTCCAGCTCAAGTAAATATTCATATTTTTATGATTAAAATTATAAATATAATTTTTTTCTTCATTAGGCTATTACAATTGAAGCTGAAGAACGAGAAGATGGTAGTCGTCGAACAACACGTTATGATATTGATATGACAAAATGTATCTATTGTGGTTTTTGTCAAGAAGCATGTCCTGTTGATGCTATTGTTGAAGTAAAATTTTAGATTATTTAGAAAAAATATTTTTGTTTTACTTCATCCTATTCTTAGGGTCCAAATTTTGAATATTCAACAGAGACACGCGAAGAATTACTTTATAATAAAGAAAAATTACTTCAAAATGGTGATAAATGGGAAGCAGAAATAGCCGCTAATATTCAAGCTGATTATCTTTATCGATAAAAATGATTTATAGACATAACATTTTTTTTCTTCTTGTGTAAAAATGAATCTGATTTTGTCCTAGTAAAAAAAACAAAAGACTGTAGCAACCGTTAATAAAAAAGAAAACAAAATCTTATCCTCATATGTCATAACCCTATTTTAGATTTAATCTGATAAAAAATGAGTAAAACTAATGAAACATTTACTGATCGTTGGCCATCAACAATAAATCCGAAAATTTTAACATTTTTAAAAAGTAAAGATTTCAATAAAATGACTCCAGTTCAGGTAGATTAATAAAAAATAAAACAAAAAAAAAGATAAGAGATAATTATTATTCAATCTAGGCTATAACAATACCACTTTTTCTTCAACATAAAGATGTTTGTGTTGAAGCTATTACTGGTAGTGGAAAAACTCTTGCATTTATTGTACCAATTCTTGAAACGCTTTTGAAAAAATATACAAGTGAAACTCGTTTTGATAAATATAATGTTCATTCATTAATTATTTCACCAACACGTGAATTAGCTCAACAAACATACGATATAGCAAATGAATTTATTCAATTTTTTGATGATCAAGAACGTTTCTCATGTATTACATTTATTGGTGGTACTAAACATGATTATGATATAAAACAATTTCAAAATCATGGTGGAACTATTATTATAGCAACACCAGGTCGTATTGAAGAATTATTGAAAATAAAAACAGATTCATTTAATCTTGTCGCAAATCTTAAAAGTCTTGTTAGTAATTTATTAATTATATATTCATATCAATTTTCTTTTTTTATTTAGGAAATGCTTATCTTAGATGAAGCTGATCGTTTATTAGATTTGGGATTTTTAACAAGGTAAAATTTTTTTGAATCAATACAACTCTTAGATTATATTATTCTCTATTTCTATAGTATAAATATGATATTAGAAGCTCTTCCTAAACAACGACGAACTGGTTTATTTTCTGCAACTCAAACTGATGAATTAGAGAAATTAATTCGAGCTGGTCTTCGAAATCCTGTACGAATAACTGTTAAACAAACTGGTTCTGCTGCCGATCAACGTACTCCATCAACATTAAAAAATTTCTACATGGTACTTTTTATTTTCTATAATAATATCATCTCTTTTTCTTTAATAAGATTTGTGAACCAAATGAAAAATTAAATCAATTAATTCATTTTATAAATGAAAATCGTCCAGCTAAAATAATGATTTTTCTTTCGACTTGTGCTTGTGTACAATATTTTACAAGTGTACTTAAACATATATTTAGTTCATCAAAATCAACCGCAATTTATGCTATGCATCGAAAATTACGAAATAAACGTACAGCTGTTATTGAACAATTTCGTTCTGAAACATCAACAGCTACAACAAGTATATTATTATGTACAGATATTGTCGCACGTGGTATTGATTTACCTGATGTTGATTGGGTTATTCAATATGATCCACCAACAACAGTTGTTCAATTTGTTCATCGGTAAAAGACAAACTTAATTCATAATGTCTTTATCCATTTGTTTTTAGTTGTGGTCGAACAGCTCGTCTTGGAAGACTTGGAAATGCATTATTAATGCTTTTACCAAATGAAGCTGCTTATGTTAATTTTCTTCTTAATAGTCAAAAGGTACCATTAGTTGAAATGATGCCAGCAGATATAAATACGATTGAAAATGTTATACCAAGTGTCCGACAATTCTCAATGAATGATAAGTAAGAATTTATTATAAACGAAAAATTAAAATTTCAAATATTTATTTGATTAAAATAGAGGTGTTTATGATCGATCTAAACAAGCATTTTGTTCTTTTGTTCAAGCATATGCTAAACATGAATGTTCACTTCTTTTACGTGTCAAAGAACTTGATTTATGTGGAGTAGCGGAAGGTGCATTTGCACTTGTTACTTTACCAAGAATGCCTGAATTAAAAAATCGTGATATATCAAATTTTAATGAAAATAAAATGATTAATCCAAATTCAATTCCATATAAAGATAAAAGTTTAGCAAAAAAACGACAAATGGAAAAAGATGATCCGCTTAAAAAACTTAATAAACGTATCAAAGTAAAAGAAAAAATATTTTTTTCTAAATCAATTTCACTTATTTTTTTTGATTTAATAGACAGTTGCATTTTCAGAACAAAAAGAAAAAAATCTTAAGAAACGTTTGAAACGTTTACGTCGTGAACAAGTAGAAAATGAACGAATACTTGGAGCTGAAGCTGAACGTGCTGAAAATGATAAACATATTGAAGATATTGGAAAAGAATATAGTAAATTAAAACGAACAAGAAGATTACTAAGATTCAATGTAAGAATATTTGAATTGATCTTAAAGTTTTCTCATTATATTTTTTTTTATAGAAATTACAAAAAACTAAAAAGAAGAAAAATGAACTTGAACTAAGTGATGATGAAAAGTTATCTGACATGGAATAAATGTATCTCCATATTATTGTTATTATTTGTTTTGTTTTTTTTTAAATAAAACTTTTCAATGATTTCTATTTCTTATAACTACCGACGATGAAATATTACATAGAAATCAAAAAAAAAAGAAAGAATGTCAATATTCTTTTCCTTCTCTCTCTCTCTTTTTTTACTTCTTAACGCCAATAGCAACATTGTCAAAGCAACATTTCTTTCTTCTTTTTTCTTGTGTATGTTTGTAAGTAGAGAAGGAAATCGAGAACAATTCAATTGTTACTATAGGTTTATATCCTTATAATAGCAAAATTTATGTATCAATCTCGAGTTTTTTGTCTAAAACTTCAATTACATTTTGGTGGTGATATACATGAAATATCTGTACCAGCATATGATGGTGCTGAGCCAACTGTTGAAGATTTAATGAACGTTATTGAACATGATTTTCGAGTACCACGAGCATTACAAAATCTTGTCTTTCATGGACAAGAATTACATCGACAGCCTGATGCTGTATTAAGTTGTTTTGGTATTAAAAATCTCGGTATTATTCGATTAGTAGGTCGAATGGCACCAGCAGATCAAATTCAACAAATTAATTCTCAATACAACATGAATTCATGTCAACAATCAAATATGATTGCAACATTTAATACAACTGAACAGAATTTACCATCATATTACTATGAACAACTTCGTTCTATTGGTACTCAATATGATCCACCTCCACCACCCACACCAAATAAAGATCAACCACCTTCAACACCTGATAAAACACAATTATCTCAACGATCAAATGATGAGGAACAAACCGCCACATCAAATATAGAACAATCATAGATACATAAACATATTATTGTGTTCTTCTGTTGATTAGAATATAGTAGTTTTATATTCAATATCTTTTAAAACGTGAGAAAGAAAGAAAAAACAATACTAATTATAATAACACACACACACATTGACATATTAGTTCAATTATGAACATAGAGAAATAAAATCAAATTGGATACAATAATTACAAAAAAAGAAACTTTATGAAAAGCACAACATTAAAAAAGAAAAACAGTCTTTAAATTATGTCGTAAAATGTTCAATATAATACTAGATATTAATATTTGACAAATTGAGCATTGCAAAATAATATAAGAAATAGCGTATTTTCACTGTCTATTGTCAGGATATAAGAATTTAAATAAATGAAAATTCACTGCGTTCTATTAATGACTAGAAATATGACACCGGTGTCGATGTCAGAGAGAAAGAAAAACATGATCACTTTTGAAAATAATTATGCATGGGATTCTTTTAGATTATCAAAATAAGCAATCATTTGTGAATGAGAAAGTTCAGATAATTCTTTTTGTCGTTGTAATGATGATGTATGAAGTAATGGATTTGATGTTATATGAAGTGATGAACTATGTATTGATGGTGAATTTTGTTGTTGTTGTTGTTGTTGTTGTGGTTGAGGTTGTGGTTTTATAGGCATTTCTAATGAATTTCTATCGAGAAATATCCAATCATGATTAGCTTCTTCTGCACCACTTTGTGTCGAATGTCTTTGTCTTCGTATATGACCGGTAGATTTTCTTTGATAATAAAAATGAATAAACCAATGTATAAGAAAAGCAATGACTAATACAATACATGCACCTAATAAAATCGATAATGCTATAAGAAATGGTGATGTTTTTATTCGTTGATCATTATTATTATTTAATATAACAAAATGATCTGTTTGATGATGTGTTGGTGAATGTGCATTATTATTATTATTGTTATTATTATTATTAATTGATGTAATTGCTATTTCACATGATAGATCATTTTGTGAAAAACTTCTATCATCTGTACATTGTTGTTGACCTAATTTAAGACGAGCATGAAGTGTTGTATGGCCAAGTGCTATTGGAAAAACATGTACATTTTTCCAGGATGTAAATGAATCAAAACGTATTAATAAAGGATTTGAACGCGTTACATCAATTTCAAATTGATAATAATCAGATAAAATTTCATCTAATGATATTGATGTATTATCTGAATAGGTTAAAATAACATTGACTTGACCAAACTAGAAATAAAATAAGCAATATTTAATTTTAGATAAAATATTAATTTTACTTGATTTTTATTATCAATATTAAATCGATTGAAAATTGGTTTTACTTGAAAATGTATTTTATAAATTGGATCAATATGTTCAATGAAATTTGTTTGTAAATCAATATTTGTTAAAAGATTAAATGAAATACTATGTATACGTATCAATTCTTGATCATCAACATAAACAGTTTTTGAACCCATTGGAAGTTTATTTGCAAATGAATAAATCTAAACGTATACATATTAATTAATAAGAATGAACATTTTTTAGATATTTACCCGAACATTTGTTTTTCCTGGACCAATACCAATAAGTCGGCCATTTTTAATAATAGCAACACGGATATTATCAGTTTCTAAATGACCACGAATAAATGGTGTTATAAGAACATTATATTTATTAAATAAATAAATACGATCACCATCTAAAGAAAATAAATAGAAATAAAATAAAATAAATAAAACTAATGAAATTTTACTTTGAGTAGTTCGATAAAATTTTGTATATACATGAATAAGTGATTGTTGATATACAGGATAACATTTTATATCTTCATCATCGTCATCATCATCATCATCTTCATCATCATCAATATCATCATCATCTAACCCATTTGTCGATGATTCAATTTTTTGTTCATCATCATCTCGATTTGTAACAAACCATCCATTTATACGAGATAATTTTGTATCACTTAATTCAATACGTAATGGTCTTTCAGGAATATAAATTGTAAAATGTAAACGTTGAAGAAATTTTTCATAACGAATAATAATTGATGTTGGACTATTTATATGATCAAAGAAATCATCACGTTCATGACCAGAAAAATAAACATGATTACAATTTGAATCAACTTGAATTAAATAAATATTTTCCGAGTGACATACTGCTTTAGATATTGATTGAACAGATCTATAAAAAATAAATTCAGATATTCATTACTCCTCAAAAAATAGGGATTGATAGAAAACGTCGAAATGAGTGGATATGGGTATGGGTGGATGTGGGTATGAATGTGGGTGCGGGTGTGGGTGGGTGGGTGTGCGTGTAGGAATCTCTTCCTTCGGCAAATACCCAGACTCTCTCTACACACCCACACCCTCAAGATTCAATGTCACTCTTTTCGGTCTTTATACTATATACTTTCTTCTTTTCTACATTTAACATCACACCCAAAAAGTATTTCATACCCAGAATAATTAACTGCAAGAATTTTTATTGGAAATTGTTGAATTTGCATTGATAACATAGCTATATTAATTAAACTTGTAAAATCTGTTATAGCAACAATTGTTTGAATATTATCATATTGTACATGAATTGGAACTCGAAAAATAGGTTCTTTATAATCAACTGAATTATTTAATAAAATAAACCAATCAATAAATAAAATTGAATTTGAATTATATTGATTTGCATTTTTATATAAATATGTTGAATTAATTGTTAATAATATTGTTGCTAAATCAATTTCAATTAAATTATGTTCATGAAATTTATCTGTTTGATTAATTGTTATATTAAAATCAATATCAATTATCGATTGTCGATTTAATACTGTTTGGTTTATTTGTATAAAATAATTCGAAATTTTAAGAATATTTGTTTGAATTGAATTTATTGTAAAATAGGGTGTTAAACGACAACGTATGATAAATGATGAATAATTTGTTGATGAAAGAATTAGTTTAAGTTTCAATGGAAAATACCAATTAGGATAATGTATACCAGATGGATAATCAACTAATATTGATGAACGTGTTATTGTAGAAAATATAATATTATCATTATCAATATATTCAGCATGACCAATACGTGTTTCTTGATGAATATGAACTTGTTTAGGTGTATGATCAGATATACATTCATTAATTGATGCAACATGATGAAGCTTAAAGAAGAAAAAATTATTTTTATTAGTTATATTATTATTTTTTTGTTTCGTTTTACTTTAAGATAAAGTTCAATTTTATTTGCTGTTTGATTTTTATTAGCATATTCAACCATTTTTAATACAGGTAATGTTACTAAACAATGGCCTGTAGTAGGTGAAATAAAACAAGCTTGAGTTTCATAAAGATTTTGTTCATTAACTCCTGTTACTATTGCACACATGGGTTGCATTTGAATATTTTCATATGAACCTTGAACTGAAGCAATTAATACACGTATAAATGGATAGGATCGATTAAATGATGGTGCTAGTAAATAACTACGAAATATTGGTTCTTTTTTTATTTGTTGTTGATTTTGTTGTTGTTGTTGTTTATTATTTGATTCATAAAGATTAAAGAATCGTTCAATTTGAATTTGTTCATATGATGCACGTACATGAATCGATGATGGAATAGAAGCTGATGTATCATCAACAAGTCCAAAGAGAACATCTCGATTAAGAAATTGAGATGTATTCGATGAAAGTTCAAATGTATGTGATGATGATATTGATGGAATATCAATTTCAATTTGATTTGTTGTTATATATTTAATATAACAAATAAAAGATAATATTAAATAATAAATATACATCGCTCATTTAACATAATATTACCGAGATTATTTAATCTACAATAATAAAAAAAAGACGTGAGGTTAGATTTACGGGGATATAGAAATTGAATAGATAAATTATTTTTAAAAACGACTAATATCTCGACCAAATACCTATAAAATAGAATTTTAAGAAAATGAACTATTCGACTAAAAATACATACGAATGATTTAAACCAAAACATAGCTCTAAAATAATAACAAAAAAATGAATTGAATATCGAATAAATAAATAAAATGACATACACAAGTAAACGATTTTTAAAACTAACAAGTCGTGTCATATAAACTGAACGCCATAATAACCATGATAAGAAACCAGATATTTTAGTTTGTTTTAAATCCGCTAAACCACCATAACCACCTAAATAAGCTAACATACCTAAATTACTAAAATTAAATGCTGGATATTTATCGTTGCTAATTTCATTTGAATTTGCTAGATAAAATTGTTTTTGATTAAATCTCTTCGCTAAATATTTCGCTTGTTGTGCTGCTGCTTGTGCCGTAGCTGGTATTGAATGTTCAATGGGTGTTGCACAATCTCCAAGTGCAAATATATTGTTGATTGTTGTTTTATCATCAATTAATACTTGTAAATGATCATTTGTATAAATTCTTCCGGAACGTTTTTCTTTAAGAAATGATAATGTTGATGTTAATTCAGTTGGAGAAAGACCTGAAATTTTTATTCATAGTTAAAATACATCTTTTTTGTTATATCTTACCAGTACTCCATACTGTGAGTCCGCATGGAATAACTTCACCATTACTTAATAAAACTTCGTTTTCATCTACACGTTTAACATGTGTATTTGTTTTAAGAGTAATTTCAGAACGTGATTTTAGAATATTCATTGCATAATCTGTTAATTTGGAATCAAATGTACCTAAAATATGATCTGTACTTTCAACAACAATAACACGTGTTTTAACATCCGGAAACCATTTCGCTACATCTTCAACAATAAAATCATGTAATTCACCACTAAATTCAATGGATGTTGGTCCACCGCCAACAATAACAAATGTTGTTAAAGCTTTTCGTTCATCATCAGATATAAATCTATTGGATGCACGT